ACGCTTCTAGAGGACCTGATGGACCCAGGTACGGTGAGGACATCCTTTACGCCGCTGCTCTACTCTCCACGGTAAATAGAGAAGGAGACTCTCTCTTCAAACGCTAGATTGACAGCTGCCATCTTGCAAACATACCGTCTGGCACTACTTCCTCCCACATTTCCGCTTCACACGCGTGAAAATTCCATATTTTGAAGCGCGACCAATTCGCGTTGGTCCTGCGTCGAGGTGCAAATGTGCACGCGACCAGCTAGGGGCGTCTGGCACTTTTTGGGCACGTCTATCGCGTTTGACGTAAGTTAAAGGTTAAGAGAAGTAAAGAGGAAAATACGAAAGAAGGTCAGAAATGAGCAGAGCTGCCGTAACAGACACAGTTATGGTCTCCACTTGTTTCAGAAAAAGCATTCTGTCTTTTGCTTGTTTGATCATGCTTTAAACACATCAAAATGCATAGTGGGATTGTAATACAAGTAAAAACTGTGACAAGCATTGGTACCGAATAGACATTCACTTAGCAGCAAGGTAAATCTGTGATCAACTAGTATGGTCTACAATTCTTCTTCTTCTTTGATTTGGTGAAAGGAGTTGAAAGTAATTGGATGAGGGTACCATGGGAAGTGCCCTGCATAATTTCAACAAAACAGCGTTTTAAACGCTGTCACACCTGATACAGAAGGGCATTTTTATCTATCTTTTAACAGCGTTTGCTGCCGAAAGACATAAAAAGCGTAGTTCAAAGACAGATAAAACTGCGTTTTTTCCGCCACTCAGAAGGGGCGTTCAAGGCGCCAGTTGCTGGAGTCAAATACAGCATTCTGTCGGGGCAAACGCCGTTTTTAATAGCGTTTTGAATTATTAAATAGCATTTTCTATGCCCTTTCTTAACCAAACGAGTTAGAAAATTGCCGAATATTGGCGTAGATGGCTTGCCACAGTTTCTGCAGAGCGACGTAAAAAGCGGCGTTCAAAGACAGGTAAAAACTGCGTTTTTTCTGCCACTCAGTAGGGGCGTTCAAGACGCTAGTATCTGGCATAAAATACCAGATTCTGTTGGGGCAAATGCCGTTTTTTATGGTGTTTTTTTTAAAAGCTGGATCCTACTTAATCTGAACATGCATCTATAGATGAGAATTTGTGTGAATGTAAAAAATATATTTACACAACTTACAATTTTTTTTTCGTTAAGTTCTAGTTACAGATACAAAACAAAAAACAATGTAAAATTCTGCACTAAAGTTCCCTGGCTGTGTGTCAGTTTTATCTTACAAGTATGAATGTTGACCAAATTTTTTGTCCTTTCAGCTGATTGGTCAATGTCATGTCAATCACAAATTTAACAATCCAATCTGGGAACAGGTGAGTTTGGCTGTTGGATTGGAGTAAAGTTGGATTGCTTTGCTGAGCTTGTAACTCGTGAAGTCACCTTTTGATACACTGCCAAGGTGAGTAAGGTCACATCCGAATTGATCGACTGACCTGGTTTCCAAACAGTGGCGCATCAAACATCAGAGTTTTTTAAGACAACTCTTGAGCAATTATTTTCTCCCATCTTCTGTTTGTGTTTGACACTCGTTCTTATTTTCTACCTTGTTTGTTTTTTTTTTCTTTTCTGCCAGAGTTCTCATCTCGCATCTGAAGAGGTTTAGCTTTACATAAACCTACAAGCTTCAGAAGGTGTATGCCCCTGTTAGGCTGCAGGGGGTGGTGTCATCCAAACAGGTAAAAACAGACTGCAGAACATCTCAGAGAATCAGCTTAATTATGGTACTGATGTGAGACTAACACTTTTTGGATTTGTTCCTTCTCAGGGTGGCTGTTACAGTCTTGTCAGCATCATTAGTCATTATGGAGGCACAGAATCAGGTAAAACAACAGACTTGTGACAAACAGAAAATGATTTAACAGAACTTGCTACTTTTCAATGAAGGACTCACACACAAAACCTTTTGATGTTCTAAGAAACACTAAGTCAAAATCACTGTTTGCTTGAATCAGTTGACTTCCAGAAGTCGGATTTATTTGTCTTAATGTGATTTCAGGACACTACATCTGTAATTCTGTCCATCCTGAGGAGAGTCTTCACTCTACATCAGATCGCAACTAGATCTGCAGTTTGTGAGGAACAGCAGCACTCGGCCTACATCCTGTTTTACAAGAGAAACGTAAGAAGACACAGCATCTCATCCTGAAGTGAGATAATTTTTAAATGTCCTGTTACCTTGTTAACCAGTTTTGTCTTCATTCTCAGTTCTGAAACAGGAAATGGAAGGAAGGAAGTTAAGGTCATCATCATGCTGAGAAGGAACAACAGTTGTCCCAGTCCACCATCGCTGACTGGAGGAAAAATATTAGTTAGTATTGCCCTTAGGAGGAAGGGTCCTCCCAGAGAGCCTGGTTCCTCCCAAGATTTCTTCCTCCAGGAGTGAGTTTTTTTCTTGCCACCGTCGCCCCACATTCACTGGTCTCATTAGCAGAGACATTTTCAACCTCCTAAGACCTGAACTGTTTCATGGCATGGTTTTTCTCTGACGTGCCTTGCTTGTCTTTTGAGACGGAACGCCCTGTGGGTTGATCACTGTGACTGACTCCTATAAACTCTAATTCAAAACTCTGGTAATCTATCATTA